AGCAGGGCATCCAATCAACAACTGCACATGTGATTGACTGTGCAGATTTTTTTAAAAAAATTCCCTAGCAGATGCCACCATAGCATTGGTTTCATTCTCTCTCTCACTTCTTTTTCCCAGTCCATCTGTTAAAATTACCCCTCTTCTCCCCCCCCCACTTGGGCTTTTTCCACGTGTGGGGCTCTGCCTCCTGCTGTAGCCATTTTGTGATTGGCCCCACCTCTCCTGACAGCCATTTTGAGGTTGGCCCCACCACCGTGTCTCAGAATTCCAAAGGTGCGCATGGGCCCAAAAAGACTGGGGATCCCTGTACTAGCAATTGCAGATCAATTCACCAATCCCCTGAGCTGTAAGATTTCTTTTTTGCCTCAGTATTTCTCTGATCCCTCTCTTTTCCTTCTTCTTGTGGTCTCAGCAGATGGAGAGTTCAATATTTATGCGGCAAATATTTAAAATCCTTGAAGAAACTGCTACCTGTAACTAATTAACATTATTTAAGTGACTCATCAATCACCTGCCACAGCAGAGCTTCCCAAGTTTCTCCTACAATGACAATTAGACTGTCAACAGAACAGAACTATCTATGAAAACTGTTTGACTATTAATATGGCTTCTATCCTTCAACTGCTCCCCTGGCACAAAAGCCTGTCATTACAACAATGTTGGCAGATTGTTTTTGCCATCTAGTCAAAGCTGACTTATAGCGAACCCATAGAGCAGGGAGTGGCCAAATTTGCTTAATGTAAGAGCCACGTAGAATAAACGTCTGATGTTTGAGAGCCACATGACATGAACAAATATTACAGACATGTTTTTATTGAAAAATATGCAAATTTGCTTTTTAGTAACATTAAATGAGACTGCCAGAAATAAAAACAGAAGGGGTAAAAATAGATATTGATAATATTTATTTGTCCAATGATATTTGTAGGCTTGGGTGGGGGAGCCCTTTGAGAACACATTTAAAGTTGCTTTCTTTCTCTGCTCCCCCCCCCGCCTCAAGCCTACCCAGGGAGGGGAACACTGGCTGGGGAAGGGAAGACTGATGGGGGGGCATGCCTCCCCTCCGCATCCCCAGCTGCCTTGCCAGGAGCCACATAATATGTGTGAAAGAGCCGCATGTGGCTCTCGAGCTGCAGTTTGGCCACCCCTGCCATAGAGCTTTCAAGGCAAGAGAAGTTCAGAGGTGGTCTGCCATTGCCTGCCTCTGCATAGCAACCCTGGATTTCCTTGGAGGCAATGCTCCCTCTAAGCTGTGGAGTCTTGTGAGCAAAAATTCTACTTTGTGAGCTACTAGCATGAAAGTTATGAGCGGGTGAGTCGGCTCCTGCATAAATTAGTCTGCTCTGGAGCCATCCTTCCTGAGTTAAGACAAAAATGCCGGAGGCTAAAAAACTGTGAGCTAGCTCAGACTAACGCAGCTTAGAGGGAACACTGCTTGGAGGTCTCCCATCCAAGTACTAACCAGGGCTGATCTTGCTTAGCTTCTCAGATCTGATGAGACTGGGGGCTAGCCTGGGCTACCCGGGGTCAGGGCTATATAGCACTAAACAAGTACTCCCTCCAAATCAGCAAGCATGAATAGCGCACTGTCTTCTCTCCATGTGGGGCAGTCTTAATGGTGAGGGGTAAATATAGTTCATTCACCATTAAAAAAGAGGAGGGGGCATTATGCATTCCAGACTAACAGAGGAGAGCTATGCAGCCTGAAAATAAATGAAAAACCAACAACATCACACACGAAGTTGTGCAGCATTGCTGTAAACAAGGGACTTGATTTTTAATAGCTCCATGTTGTCTTATACTGAAGTGATATTTAACATGTGAATTCTCTGCACCACACATCACAATGAAAAATGGTAAGGACTTTGGACCCTAAACTTTGGATTTCATATAAGAAGAGGGATCGAGAGACACAAATGGACTGCGGTTTTGATATCTCTTCTTCTTTGGCACGTTCAAATACATTCTGATATTTATATGCTCAAAGATACCTTTCAGCAGTAAAGGTCAAACAAACAAGCAAAAATTTCAGAGCAATCTTCCAGAGTACTTTTACTGATATAATGAATTATGAACACAGCAGAGGAAGGCTTTCATTAAGGCATGCTTCAATATTCTACCATTTGCTATTTTAGAAGGCCACAGCAATATAGTGGAAGAGCTCTTGTGCCTATAGGTCCATCAAAGATTTATCCCGATGTCACATTCTGGTGCCCAAGATTTTGAGTCTGAACGCAAAAGATTTCTGAGCACCATTATATCCTGTTTCCCAGGAAGGTCAGATCAGGATAAACTATTATTACTACTGGCAGACAGGGATAAATCCATTCCTTTCCAAATGGCAAGGATTGTTGCTATCACCATAAAGATGAGGCAGAGTGATAGGAGCACGGTTGACCTGCACACTAATTGCTCCACTCTGGGTCATGTAGCCTTCAGACGGTAAGATATATTATCACAGTTTTATTTTGTGATACTTTAAATTATTATTACATACTATAATTTCTTCGAGACCGCCTCTCCCCATATGAGCCCCACAGAACACTGTGTCCTATGAACCAGCATCTCCTGGTAGTCCCTGGCCCCTACCGGGTAGAATGAGCTACCTTATGAGAGCAGGGCCCCACGGAACCTGTTACAGTTCCACAGGGCCTGTAAGATGGAGCTCTTCCGCCAGGCTTTTAAGTTGAGGCAGTGGGCATCCACTTCGATCTGCCCCCCTCCCCCAGTGACCGCAGATCCTAGAAGCCGACTGGAACTACAACATCGCTGGAATTAATATCATATGTTGAGGCACATTGTATGTTTTAGTGTTTTTAGTGATTTTAGTGTGTGTAATGGGTATTGTATTGATGAATATGTTTTAATTGTAAATCTACATTATTTGCAGATCTGCATGCTTGGAACCCGCCCTGAGCCCGCTATGTGGGGAGGGCAGGATATAAATCTAATAAAATAAAATAAAATAAATTCTATGAAAATTTCTCGTTCTTATTTTGATGGAATTGTTGCGTGTTGTTGCTATGGCTTATTTCCCGATGCGATAAAGAGTGAATGTTTGACTGTCCGTCTTAGAATACTGCCATGGGGATGAGTAAGCATTATTTTTAACCAAAATAGGCCAGTGAAATTTTACAGATGGTATTTGTTTAGATATTTATGCACCACTTTTCTCCCTACGGGGGACCCAAAGTGACTTGGTTGCTGCTGTGAGGATAAAACAGAGGTGGGGAGGTAGTAGTGGGGGTCTGGCTTCTTGGTGCTCCCTGATGGGGAAATTACGAATTTTAGCTGGGTTGAAAGAAGGGGTCCAAATCACGACTAACAACGGGAGTAGAAACTCTTTTCTTTATTGACTGAGCATGATTAAGGAAAGCATCTATTTCTAAGAAGGTTCAAGATGCTGACACTGTTACATTGTTCATTTTTCGGTACTTGATGCAGGTTTTACATCACAAGAAGGCGGTAACATATAACCAATCAATGCATGCCTACTCAGCCCTGCTCTGACTCTTAACCAATAGAAAAGCAACCTATACTTCCTTCCTAACATACTTTTAACAATATTACTACCTTACCTATGTAGAGGATCATTTAACCCAGTGATAAGCCAGCACTGCTATCTTTGTTTTTAGCTGAAGTCTCCAAAAGTCCACATTCCAGCGATAAGCCAGCACTGCTATCTTTGTTTTTAGCTGAAGTCTCCAAAAGTCCACATTCCTTGCCTCATAGGGCAAACTAACAGATCCTGTTTCCTTAAACTATAGCAGTCAGCAGTTCATATTGTGCTAGTAGCGTACCATAGATAAGGTAGTAGTATTGTTAAATGTACTTTAAGAAGGCAGTATAGATTGCTTTTCTATTGGTTTAGTGCAGCGTTGAGTAGGCATGTATTGATTGGTTGTATATTACTGCCTTCTTGTGATGTAAAACTTGCTATAAATACAATAGATGAATCATCCAACAGTGTCAGCATCTTGAACTTCCTTAGGTATAGATGCTTTTCCTTGAACATCGTCAATCAATAAAGAAAGGAATTTCTACTCCAGTTGTTAGTAGTGATTTGGACCGCTTCCTTGAACCCAGCTAAAATTCGTAATTTCCCCATCGTCCCCCACTTCCAGATCTTCTCTCCCCGTTATCTGCCTCATACCTACTCCCATTCCTTTCTGAATTTCTGCCCCCTGCCCCATACCCACCACTTTCTTCTAAATTGTCTAGTCTCATTAGTATGGGAAAACACACTGGCCTTTTTCACCTTTCAATCCAAAAAGACGGGTATATTAAAATATCATGTATACTTACAAGTGTTCTGCTGAATCTACATCTGAGTGTTTGTCTTTTCCATTTGGTATACTGTGGTCAATAACTATTGTTTCAGTATTGGCTAAACAGAACCCATTAGAGCGCATGATTTCTGTGGAAGAAGGAAAGGTGACAGTGAAACATCAAAACCACAGCCTAGATCCAGAAAGACAGACAGAACTGACTGTTCCCTAATAGATGATACAGCAAGTCATGAAAACATATTGAGTCAAAAGAAGCCAATTCTTAAAAAAAAAAAAAGAAGAAGACCAAATCCATGTATTTTTTTACAAGCATTTCTACTCATCAGGGAAAGCTTTAGGAATAGAAAATTTAGGAAATCTATTTTGAGGAGGGCTCAGCATTCAATTAACCTTTCATTGAAATGGCAGGCCTATTTTATTTCACCTAAAAGGAAATTAAACATGAGTCCAGTAGCACCTTGAAGACTAACAGCATTTACCTTAGCGTAAGTTTTTGTTTGTGTGCCAGAGCTCACTTCCTCAGATGCCTAGGAGAGTAGGTCCATTAGGCCTGGTGAAATATCCAGCAGAACGGGGCAAAGGGTGCATCACAAAGAGAAGCCACTGATCAAAAGGGAATAAACAAAATCCAGGGCTTAGAGTACTGACTGACTATTTCTGCTTCTGGACTCCTGTCTTAATTTTGCTACATTAGACTAAGGAGGCTATCCCTCTAGAATGGTTTTTAAAGGAAAAGAATTGTGTGGTCACGTCTAACAGTCTTCTTGACATAGTCCCAGGTTGCAACACATTGGTGAGATAAACATCCTTGAACAAATTGAAAGGTAAAGATTTGGTGGGGGGAGAGCAGTTAGAGCCCTTCCTGTGTGTCTAAATCCAGTTGAACAGCAGTTTTGTTACCCTGAATTTACTCTGTATAACACCATTCAAACACAACCCACGTGAAACAAATTAAGGGAACACGGACACAACTATTTGAACTTGTAGCAGCTGCAAATATTATTCAATCTGGGCTGACTTTCATATGCATTACCCCTATACATTGGACATCCACACTGATCTGAGCCTCAATCACTTTTTTCAGGCTGCATCACATCTGGCTTTTTTGCATCCTCATTTTCCTCACTTGCAAGTTCCTGTTTCTTCAGGTTAAACCAGCGGTTTAAATCGGCACGAAGATATGTTGGACATAAACAGATGTAATATTGAATCAACCCCTAGAGGGAGCAAAACACGTGTAGAAGAGACACCCCCTGCCACCGGAAGAAAGAGGAACTTACAAGCAAGGAAAATGAGAATGCGGAAAAGAATGCAGCAGCATAGGAAATGCCAGTCTGGCTTCAGCTTGGTAGCTGATGGGCAGCAGAAGGTTTTCACACAATTAGCTCAGAACCACCACAGAACAGTGGGAGTCATCTCGAAACCACAGCTGACAGTTGTTCAAAAGATCATGTGAAATGATCCCTGAAGGTCTTTTGACAACTCTAGGTCTGTCTGCAGAAGATGCATAAAGATCCAATTCACAAGTTCTTATTTTGTGTATTCTGACAGTTGGCTTTATAATGTAAAAATCCTTAAACATGTGAATTTATGAAGAGTGTTCCTTTAGGAAAGAACCATTATGGCTCTCTGGATGAGTCTATCCATGGATGTCATCCAACACTTGGATATCATCACCAATCATCTGAACTCTGAATTGTATTTATCAGTTACTATTCTTCAATTGTTTGAAATATGTATGTTATATATTTGTATTATTACGTTTTTGTACATTATTGGCTTTTGACTTGTTATGGTTTAATTTTTCTTCTTACAGGTACAGTTATGACGGAGTCTGCAAACTTCCCAGAGCTCAGTTAATGTGAGCACTGTAGCTCTAGCATCTTGAAAGGATTATCACAGTTAGGCAACATGGCTTTTTAGTAGGGGGAAATGGAATAAAAGGCTTTTCCTCATCCCTTACATTTCTATGCAAAAATAACAGAGAATTTCTCTAATTAGGCAGAGCAATTCAGAGTCAGAAATGTTAGTCTGTGACCCCCAAACATTTTGCTCATGGCTTAAAATTGACATGACTATAACTTAAACGCCTATTATTTTCATTTTCAAAGCATCTTTTCCGGCATGATGTAGTGGTTAAGTGCAGTGGACTCTAATCTGGAGAACTGGGTTTGATTCCTCACTCCACCACATGAAGCCTGCTGGGTGACCCTGGGCCAGTCACAGTTCTCTCAGCTCTCTCTCAGCTCCACCTACCTCACAGGCAATGGTCCATCTAAGCTGTGGAGTCTTGTGAGCAAAAATTCTACTTTGTGAGCTACTGACGTAAAAGTTGTGAGCGAGCGATTTGGCTACTGCATAAATGAGTTTGCTCTGGAGCCATCCTTCCTGAGCTAAGACAAAAGTGTCTGAGCCAGAGGTTAAAAATCTGTGAGCTAGCTCACACTAACTCAGTTTAGAGGGAACACTGCTCACAGGGTGTCTGTTGTGGGGAAGGGGAGGGAATGTGATTGTTAGCCACTGTGAGATTCCTTAGGGTAGAGGAAAGTGGGGTATAAAAACCTCTTCTCTTCTTCCTTTCTTTGTGATATGCCAGGATGTGTAGAGTTTATTTATTTATTTTGGTGAGTGTTTTCTTTCATGTAAGTGCCCACACAGTCGAATGCTGAGAGCCAGCGTGGTGTAGTGGTTAAGAGAGGCAAATTCAAATCTGGAGAACTGGGTTTAATCCCCCACTCCTCCACGTGAAGCCAGCTGGGTGGCCTTGGGCCAGGCATAATCCTCTCAGAGCTCTCTCAACCCCACCTACTTCACAAGGTGTGGGGAGAGGAAGGGAAGGAGATTGTAAGCTGCTTTGAGAAGGTAGAGAAAAAAGGGTATAAAAACCTACTCCTTTTCTTCATCATTATCATCATCTTTTCATTAACTTCATTCAGACTAAATGAGAATTACTCTGGATTTCAATCTGTTTTTTGGTTTGCTCCAAGTTGACCATCACACAAGCACTGTTTATTTTATGTCAATTCCTCCCCCATTGCTTTCTTCAACCCAGGATGTGCATTTAAAGTATGACTCATGTTCAGCAACAAAAGACTGCAGGGCAGAAAGAGATTTCCATTTGAGACTTAAATTTGTTTCCATCTGGGAGGCCTGAGTTGCTTCCCTCTTTAGTCTGAAGCGTGGCTGTGGCAGGAAGAGAATTTTCTGTAGTGAATACGAAATCTCCCCCCCCCACAAAAACTGTTGTAGCAGATTCAATTGTGGAATGTGAGCAGAATACTAGAATGCATTTTCCCTTCCTCCTGAAGCCCTTTCATGTGACTTATGATCAGAGATTTTTCCTCTTCCAAAGTCAAAAGATACCTTAGCAATTAACTTTAATTTCATCTATCCTAGCAAAACCACTAGGAATTTTTATCCTGAAAGAGACTTCAAGTGTTCATATAGGAATGGAAAAGGGATAAATACAAACCTAAGCATTAAACTAGCAAAAGTCCTGTTTGTATGAAAGGCTTGAGTAACACTGAAAGCATAAAGATAAGTAAAAGACTAAATATCTATTACATTTTATCCTCTCCTGTCCCCATGCAGCTGTGGGAAGAGTATATTGCTGTCTCCCTCATCGTAGTTTTTAATCTTTTCAACAACCCTGTGAGTTGACTGGAAAGAGATTTCATAGAATCACAGAGTTGGAAGGGACCTCCAGGGTCATCTAGTCCAACCCCCTGCACTCTGCAGGAAGTTCACAAATACCTCCCCCTTCACACCACAGTGACTGCTGTTCTACACCCAAAAGTTGACAAATAACCTCCAGGATCCCTGACCAAACCAGCCTGGAGAAAAATTGCTTCCTGACCCCAAAGTGGCTATCAGCCTTTCCATGGGCGTGTAAGAAAGGACCACAAGAACTAAGCACTGAGGCAACCTTCCCTGCCCTCCCTCTCGTGATCTGCCCAAGTTCACAGAATCCGCATTGCTGTCAAATGGCCATCTAGCCTCTGTTTGAAAACCTCCAAAGAAGGAGAGCCCACCACCTCCCAAGGAAGCCTGTCCCACTGAGGAACCACTCTTTCAGGAAGTTCTTCCTAATGTTTAGCCAAAAACTCTTCTGATTTAATTTCAACCCGCTGGTTCTGGTCTGACCTTCTGGGGCTACAGAAAACAATCCACACCATCCTCTCCATGACAGCCCTTCAAGTACTTGAAGATGGTTATCATATCACCTTTCAGTCGTCTCCTCTCCAGGCTAAACGTACCCAGCTCCTTCAACCTTTCCTCATAGGACTTGGTCTCCACACCCCTCACCATTTACGGTCCTAAAGTCACCCAGTAAGCTTCATGGATCCCTGGGACAAGTCTAACACTCTATTACACCTAGCCATCAGAGGGGGGGGGGACTACACCGCCTCCTGTCAGGCACCACCAGAAGGAAGTAGAACAGCCCATGTGGTGGCATGATTAGCAATGTATTAGGGCTGGGGAGACCTGTGTTCACATCCCCACTCACTCATAAAGCTCCCTGGGTAACACTGAACCAGTTATTCTCTCTCAGGCTAACCTCCTTCACAAGAAAATCTCAGAGCTTTATTTTGCATGTTTCTGCAGGCTATTGCTGAGTTGTCAGGCATTATTACTCTGTGACAGGATTCTACTGGTGGGGATTCTCAGTACTTAAAATAACTTCTCATAAGGAACTCAAGTACTAATTTAAGAACCCTGGACTATACAAGGGGAGATTACATATGAATCCAGCCAGATGTTTAAACCAATAATATTGTAGGGGAAATATTCCTTGCAATAGCTGTTCAGACGTTCTGAGGAATACTGCAGGGGAAAACTAATAAGCAAAGCCCTGATCAAGGACATCAAATGGAGCGAAGTGCAGACTTCACTAGCTATTCTGGTAGGACCTGGGATTTTGATTTGTGGTGCCTTCATGTTCATTTATTGACAAATCTGCCCCACGCTTTGTAAACAGTACAAAGAAGTCCTACTTTGGGGCATGTCAATTGATCAGCATGAAAACTGGTTCATTCATTCCTGTGGTGCAGACTGACAGATACTGAGAATAGCTTGTGGTAAACAGCATTGATCATCCTAATTCTTGGGCTCTTCTTGGTATTCTCGAAAAATTCCATTAAATTTAACAGAACAGGGATCTTTATAACAATACAGTATGAGATGTTTATCTGCTCAAGAAGAAAAGTGAATGAAAATGGGTGTGAGCAGTGGAATAATACAACAACCAAGACAGCAAGATCTACAGTTTCAACATTCAGTATGGAAAACTTGGTAACAGGCAGAGATTTGGAGCATCTAACTCAGTTCAGAAGCATGAGACACAACTGGAAAGTGTTACTACCCTAGTTGCCTATCATGTTATGTAGGACCAGCACAGAAAATTGGACTGCACTCCCTCCCAAATATCATATCTGGAATGGTAAACCATTTTACAAAATAATTATAGGATAGTGTGAAATAAAGCAGCAGTTTCAAGAAATACAGAAAACAAGAATTGAGTGATTATTGTTTCAAGAAATTATTTATTTATTTACTTTTATTAATACCCTGCCTTTCCTGCCAATGGCAACTCAAAGGGCTTATGTTGTTTTCCTTTCCTCCATTTTAATTCTCACGACAACCCTTTGAGGTAGGTTAGGCTGGGAGAGTGCAACTGGCCCAAGGTTACCCAGCATGCTTTGATGGCAAGAGTGGGGATTCGAAACTGGGTCTCCTAGGCTCTCTAACCACCACACTGGCCACAGTGAAAGCAACCCTCTTTTGGCCAATACAGTTAGGGAGGAGAAACAATAACTACCCATTATTGCTGAAGTCAAGTTGATCCCTCTTACCTGATATTTTAACTGGACTTTGAAAAGTTGGCTGAATTTTATGGATGTTGTCATTTTTCAACACCTGGTCTAAAGGAGATCTTTCGAAGAAGGTGAGGACAACTTCAGATCTGGAGTACTGGGGGGAAAGAGGAA